GGGGGGAGAGGAGGAGGGAGGAAGCGATCGGTCAATAACCTTTTTTTATTTTAATAAAATAAGCATCAACATATAAAAACTGCAAAAGTTCATCATGCATTTTCTGAAATGTAAGGGTCATTGATTTCAACTGTAATTTCCCTTCCCTCTGGTTAGCCAACTGAGCTGCTGGGCAGCGATGCTCCAGAGCAGATTTGATTGCTTTTCGCAATAAATTGAAAATCCTTCTTCGTTCTCACAATGGCATCAAGGTTTCATTTGAAATGAAAGCCCATGGTCTTCGATAAGTGAGACTGCCACTGGAATATGCAATCCGACTGTCATGGTCACCAGTGGTCAAGGTCGTTGTCGATTGTGAAAGAGATCTACGGGCAGCATCTTTTGTCCCTATGAGGGAATTAACCTTTTCATTATGTAAACATAAATCGCTGGGCTTGCATGAGCGATTCTTGCAAATTGACAAGTAAAAATTCCTCTATAAAATATCCTTTATAAAGAGGCAGAGGCACTTCGGGAACTAATCCGTAGTAGCAGCTGTAAATAGCAATGCCATGATGGCAAGATTAATCGTGGCTTCCTCTTTCTAATGGCTGGTTTAACTCCTCGGCAAAATATGAGTTTACTGTCAAAACGAATGAACGAATCGTGCAGAGATTGGCTGTCGGATCCTCGATTCAGTAATCGTTCACTGTGAGAACGAATTCACTACAAGTGTTCTTTTACTTGCCATTATTGAATAATATCACTGAAAAATTCTTAACAATATGTCCAGTTGAAGAATAAAATTGAGTACGTTGAACCGTTCTGGCTTGGAGTGGGAACGTTTTCAATAACGACGATGAAACTAAGCTGCTGAGATTGTCGATGGATTTAACTTTTCGTAGGCACTGTTTGAGATGCAACCTTGAAGACCACATGGAACAAAGAGCCGTGTACGGATACACCAAGCTAATAGCATTAAATACATTTGCAGCTTTTAGAAACGTATTTGCAGCTTCTCGGCTTCTTCCAAAAATTCCGCGGCACTCACCCACATCTGCTCGGGCCGTTCAAGCGGATTCTTCCATCTCATTGACAGTTTTTTAGTTTGACAGTCCCTTTCTTCTTGAATGTATCACTCAGCTGCTGCTTTCTTGCAGGTCCGTTTACACAAACAAATGGCCGAAGTTCACGGAATCGCATACTCTCCTTACGCTGACTATTCACCTCCAGCAGCCGTTTACAACAACACTTACGAACCATCGGTTGCCTATGCGGCAACGTCGTATGCGACCAGTACAGCCGGTTACGCAGCCGCCGCACCGGTCAGCTATCCGTCCGTTCAAGGACAAGGCTATTCGATTGCCCAGCAGGTCCGTGTTTTTTCGTTCTTACCTGTACTAACACTTGTTTGATTACTCCGCTTTTTTTTGAACATAATTAATTATTTTTACTTGTGGATCCTCCATCTTTTACCCACCTTTCCTCTCTTTTCCCCATTCTCTTGTTCTCATTCACACAAAAGGGAAAGAAATACACTCTTCGCCAACACTTATAAGAAACACAGCTCGTGCATATATGATTCAGCAGGCCAGTGGTACCAAGGAATA